CTATTACGTTGCCCTGAGAAACTTGGCGTTCTTTCGCAAAACATTTGCATTCTTTCGCAAAACTATTGCGTTGCCCTGAGAAACTTTGCGTTCTTTCGCAAAACATTTGCATTCTTTCGCAAAACTATTGCGTTGCCCTGAGAAACTTTGCGTTCTTTCGCAAAACATTTGCATTCTTTCGCAAAACTATTGCGTTGCCCTGAGAAACTTTGCGGTTGTTTGCAAAATCAATGAGGTATAGTTTTCCTCCCACTTATACTCAAGTGTACACAATGTTTTTCTGGGAAACACAACGTTTGCGAGAAAATGCAAAAGCATTTAAATATAATTTTCCCTCCTATCTTTTTTTCTGTACATTTCCTCTTTTGTGAATTGTGAATTTTATTGATAGAGGGGAGAGTAAACTAAAAAAATATTGGGAAGAGATGGGTATCTGTATTGGGACATAATGCCGGATTGATCAAACCTGTGCGTCCCGTATGAGCTCAACAGCTGCATGTTTCTGCAGCATGTGCGCAAACCACTAGGCCACGGCTCTAACCTTATATTGAAATTTTTTCTGTAAAAATATTTAATTCTGTCAATATATTATTTTTCTCTCAAAAAGTGACTTCTATTTCAAAAATTGGGTTTGAGTTTATTATTTTAAAAAATTGGGCTCATCAAAAATTTCCAAAAAATTGATATGCTACAGGAAATGATTGAGCTTCTAACAGAAAGAAACCACATGACGTTAGATGTGCATCATATGGTGCTACACACAAAAAGCCAAGGAACGTCCTTGCCCGCAGCTGCTTCATTAACCTTGCGAGTTAGAGAGGCTGACACCCCAACACCCTAGAGACAGGCGCAGACAGACACTTCACTTCCTTTTGTTGTATTATTCATCCCGATGTCACTTTTCAAGTGCCTTTTTAGTTGAGTGGCCCGTAATTATCAACCGGGCCCATATCGGGATGGGCAAACCCAAGAAGAGACCATCTGCCCCACCCTGTCTGAATCTCACAATGGTCCAATTACGGCTCTGTTGTCCCATCCTAGGGAGACTATTCACTCTAGGATGGGACAACAGAGCCATAATTGGACCATCCTAGAGAGACTATTCACTCTCATTCCATCTTGTTTTTTCTGTCCTCCAGGAAATAGCATCGAATCCCACTCATCCCAAACAAACAAGAGGCATTATGGTGATGAGGAAATATTTCAAGCATCCAAACATGTGAAGCGTCCATGGAATGCTTGTGAATAAGATCTGTGGCACGTTAAGCCGCTATCTTTGTCACCATTTGAGCTAAGGGGTGAAGATTTCACTTCCCACATTGGGAAATCTTGGCAAACTATTACAAATATCAACATTCTTCTGCTATACAATTATCATCACATTTTTTTTCACCTTCTGCAAGGCAAGAAACGTCTTCAATTTTGAATTTAGCAACCTTTCAGAACCTTTCTGTCTGTCTGTCGACTACTGCGAGTCGAGAAATGTTTTATATTCGATGCTACGCCTCAACCTGAGGCCATCAACCACACAAGGCTGAGCATCAAAGCTCGGCATCACATAATAACATTCACTGTTAATCAGACCGCCGCTAGATCTGTCAGCGAAGCTTCTGTCCACGCCGCCCCTCCCAACCACCCCCCTGCTGTTCGGCGTAATTACTCCATTTGTGTAAACAGTGATTACCGTTCCCCCCTTCCCCAAAACACTGTTCCTCTCTGCTGGCAGTTTCTGTCGGAACGCTCTCAGAAGTCTCTTGCCTCAATTTTAGAGACTCAAATTTCTGTGCATAATTGTTTTCACAAATAACCGGCTTCTTTTATGACATCTAGACAAAGAGATGTTTTGGCAAGGCGGATGGTGGCGCCCACCTCTTTGTGTTTAATGCAGAGTGATGTGCATTTTACTGAGGGAAGATTTATGTATGCGCTACAGGAGAACCTGCGATGCGTGTTAAAGAGTGTCAGTTGTGCTTCCTGCCCTGAGTTCTCGTCATCAATTAACATTTTTCAAAGCATTTTTAAACATTATAGGTTACTTGGGTCAGTTCTCTTTTACTGTTATACAACAAACTGTAGATATACTTATCCATTGCAATGAAGACTGCATGAGTACTGATGCATTTAAAACTGACAATCTATCTATCTATCTATCTATCTTAAAGGCCTTTTGCCTTTCAGGCAAGGCTTTGTCAAGCCAACATCATGGTTTGTATTGACGTACAATACAACTAGGGGTAGTTATGGCCTAATGGTTAGAGTTGGACTTGTAACCCGAAGGCCGGGGGTTCGAGTCTCAGTACCGGCAGGAATTGTTGGTGGGGGGAGTGAATGACCAGTGCTCTCTTCCACCTTCAACACCCACTGAGGTGCCCTTGAGCAAGGCACCAAACCCCCAATTGCTCCCTGGACACCGTAGCAAGAAATGGCTGCCCACTGCTCCGGGTGTGTGTTTAAAGTTATTTAATTAAGAGTTAGAGACTAGTTATTTAGCAACACATTTTAATCAAGGTGATCATTTCATATATTATCACAGTCTTGCTTAACACACCTTGAGGTCTGTCTAAATGCTGTTTATGCCATAATGTAGTGGCTCCCTCCAGTTACACCACAGGACTTTGAGGAACCACTAAAACCAATAACGTTCCAGACAGATCACATCACGACTTGACTGAAGGAAAGTACCTGTGCCAAGACACCACAGACGCACCTAGACATCAGCACTTTGGGCTGCCTGTGGTCAAAGACAGCCTGAATTGCATCTGTTTGTGGCCACATTTTACCAACGTATTGCTTTGACTTGTCTGCCGATGTCGACAACAACAAATTTCTTGCATTTCTTAAGGAATGGGAGTTGCTGTGTTGGTTGGGCAATAAACCTCAGCTTGAACAGAGCCTAAGGGGTCTAATTTTTTCTGAGGATAAGAAACAAGATGTGCTTTGCCGGAGGTTCCTGATGGGTGCGAAATAACATTTGTGTTGGTGCATTGATTTACAGATTCTGAGGAGGTGGGCGGTTGGAAAGGACACTTCTGGCCCAAACCCTCGAGGTAAGATCCCTATGGGAGGCAACCATTGGAAGCTGATTGTCCACTAATGCAGGATCTTTGTGTTCCTGGAGGCCACCCAGCTGCACGCATCCGCCTGGCAGACACACGCCAGTATTTAGGTGAAGGGGGGTTTCGACCCCTGTTCCCCACTTAGTGTCCGTTCCACCCAAATGCGCCCTTTCTTCTCAGGGTAACGACAAGCGTTAACCTACTACACTCACTGAAGCCGACTACGCCAACCGCCCCCTCTTCCTGTCCACACTGTGGCAGTCCTTCCTTTCCAGACCGCGTTGGCTAGTCCTCTTGTCTTCTGCCAAGTTTCAAACGTCTATTTATGCGCGGCGCATTAATTGCGTCGCCGGTGAAATCTTTTTGAATTCGGTGGTTTTTCATTTTGCATGACAATGGAGCTTTTGAGGAGTCTCACAAAACCACGCTAGCGCCCGCACACATCCTGCCAGGATCCCTTTGAAAGGAAGATGTCTCGATCCCCGTGCCTTTTTTGTGTTTGGCTGCATTCATTCAGATGCTGCTTCCCATCTGCGCTCACACCTAAAGCACTTAGCGGGTCGACATGCTCAGCTGGAATACGGTGCTTGTGATGAATGAAGTTTATATTTTGCCGCCTTTTTCCATTGTTCCAGTACACCAAAGCCAGCAATGCAATATATGATATTGTACAACCAATTTTGAGGATAAACAGCAAAGACATTTTTTCAGTCTGTTTTGCTCATATTTAGTAGATCTAAAAGTATTAAAATTATCTCAATAACCTTCAAACTTCAAAAAGGAATCGAAAGCCAACTGCAAAATTAGTTAACTTTCCTGTTCTAGTTGAAACAGTCATGCTATTTATCGCAAAGGCTTCAGTAGTTGCAAAATCGTTTTTACAAAGACATCTGTCTGGAAATCCCAATTTTCTTCCCCATGGGATCGTGCCCAGCTGCTTTTAGGGATTTCTCCCATCTGGCATCTCTATTAGTGCATGGACCCCTGGCTTTTGACCTCCACATGCATAACTTATGTGTCTGGCGGGCATCAGGCCAGCTTTTACTTTCATTATCAATGTCTTTTTCAACCAGTCTCCTGGAGCTGGAAATAACTGAATTGCTTGAGATGTAATAGGAATGTTTGATTGTATCACTCAACGTTGATATCTTAAAGGAATAGTTGAACCAAAAATAAACATTTGCTGAAAATATACTCACCCTCAGGCCATCCAAGATGTAGATTAGTTTGTTTCTTAAGCAAAATGGATTTGGAGAAATTTAGCATTGGATCACTTGCTCACCAATGGATCCTCTGCAGTGAATGGGTGCCGTCAGAATGAGAGTTCAAAGACCTGATAAAAACACCTTAATAATCCACAAATATTCCACACCACTCCAGTCCATCAATTAATGTCTTGTGAAGCGAAAAGCTGCATGTTTGTAATAAAACAAATCCATCATTAAAACATTTTAAACTTCAAATGTTACTTTTGGACAAAATACGAGTCCTTTATCCATAATATTACTTTATCCAGTGGAAAAGTTGTCTTGTCTGAATCAGGAGAGAAATCTGCATAGATCAAGCACTGTTTACAAGTAAAAACAGTACAAAACAAATATGGCATATGGATTATTGTGATGTTTTTATCAGCTGTTTGGACTCTCATTCTGACGGCACCCATTCACTCCAGAGGATCCATTGGTGAGCAAGTGATGTAATGTCTCCAAATCTGTTTAGATCAAGAAACAATCTTGGATGGCCTGAGGGTGAGAGAACAGGCGCTGTCATTTAATTAGTGGTCCTACAACCATCAGAAGTGGGTTTTGCCTTTGGATGAATCTTACCAACATCTGGTCAGTTTCTCCAAAGTTCATTTGAAAGAAATTTTACATTTTGAAATAAATGGTTACTACTGCGATAAACAGTAGTTTGGCTTAATTTATGTCTCTTTGTTTTCAACAGACAGATCTCTTCCCTACAATCTGGGCAAAGGAATGCAGTCTGGAGTCTCAGTGCCATTCGTTGGCATTTCCACTAAAAACACCTGCCCGGGAATGAAAGGAATGAGGCTGGTGCTGTGACATGTACACACACCCTTGATTCTCAAGACCATCTCTGAGCTAAAATAGCCACATGAATTTGTAAAGTTTGTGCTGAGAAATTGAACTTTATACTCCAGGTTTCTGAAGCGGCTGGAAATCGCTGTGGTTAAAATCGACTGGGTGTGACCGACAATTTCAAAATTCCAGCGTATCTAGCAAGTTGTGAAAGGTGCGAGACATTCCTTGTCACTCAGCGGATCCTAGTCATGCTAATCCACTAATCCAATCCTCGCTCTACAAAATAAAAGAACACGTGCTTAGCATTTTCACCGAGATTTTATTTTAAAAAAGTCTTTAATACACCCTACTGTATGACTGACAGAAGTTAGAAACAATAATAATTTGGCATTAAATGTCCAAAAAACAGAACAAGAATCAGTGATATCAAAACATTTTACACAAATGAAGACATTTCACGACAAAGAAACAAACATTTCACAATAACGCAGCGTTTAGCTGGTAACATGTGCTGCTTTCTTTGGCTTTAGGCAACACATTCTAATGACGTTTAAGAAAACACCCTTATGAGTGTATTTGACCGTTCAACAGTGAGAAGGACACAATGTGCAAAATCTACTTAAAAATACAATATACTTCACAAATGTACATACAACAATAGAACATAATCAAGGCTACAAGTACGGCAACAACATTTAAGAAGTTTGTCAGGTTTTTGTACACTTTGAAAACGGTTTATTGAAGGTTTGGCACAAAACCATTAAGAAGGAATCTACGGCTTTAGTAGTTTAGCCACCTTAATAACTAAGCGAATGTCATTCACATTGTAAACTACACGTTATCCTACAGTTGTGTGACAAATTTTTTAGAAATAAAATGAAGCCTATTTTGCATTGTGACATTTTCATGACAATTAAGAATATTTTTCATCATTACTGTAATTTGTCCAGGCTTTAAATCTGCGTACACATAAATACAGTTTGAATAATATATTCTTGTTTTTTCCTATTGTGGTAACCACTTTTTTGTACTACAGTAATGCGAATTTGTGAGGAAAATCTGCTTTAATTTCCTTGAAAAAATGCAAACAATCTAAAAACATTTGTTGTCTTCATGCGAAATATTTCTTATTTGTTTGTTTTCTTTTTTTGCATTGTGATTTTTTTTATGACAACTAAGAACATTTTTCTTTATTACCATATTTTTCTTTCCACAATATAATTACAATTTAAATGATATATTCTTTTATTTATTTCATTATGGTAATTACTTTTTGTGCATTACAGTAATTAGAATTTGGGGGATAAATGTGCTTTAATGGCCCTAAAAAATAATTCCAAAATGCAAACAATCTAAAACCAGGCTTTATTTTCTTTATCCGAAATATAATTTCTTATTTTGTTTTCACACTGTGACATTATTTTCATGATAATTAAGGGTGTTTTCCTCATTACCATAATTTGTCCAGCATTAAGTATTTATTTTAGGTTTTTTAAAATAAAATCTGCATATGTGTACGACTTTACATAAGAAATACATTCCTGTTCTTTTCCATTATGGCAATGATGTTTTTTGCATTACGGTAATGAGAATTTAGGGGGAAAATGTGCTTTAAAGGGGTCATATGATGTTGCTAAAAAGAACATTATTTTGTGTATTTGGTGTAACGAAATGTGTTTAATGCGGTTTAAGGTTAAAAAAACACATTATTTTCCACATACTGTACATTATTGTTTCTCCTTTACTTTTATAAAGAATATCTCTTTGGATTTGAGACTTTAGTCTTTGCAACTTTACAGATCTTCTTTATGCACCAAGAGCTTGTAACACTCCAAGGAGAAAGGAAAACTTGAAATTGCATCATATGACCCCTTTAATTGCTCTGAAAATAATGTCACAATGCAAAAAATCTAAAACCAGGCTTCATTTTCTTTATGCAAAATCTAATTTCTTATTCATTTCTTCTTTTTTGACATTATTTTCATGGCAATTGAGGACGTTTTCCACATTACCGTAGTTTGTCCAGGATTTTTAAGTATTTTTTCATGAAAATCTGGATGTGCTTAAATACTTAATACTTTTCTTGTTCTTTTCCACGATGGTATTGACATTTTTGCATTACGGTAATGAGAATCTGCTTTAATTGCTTTGAAAATACCGGTAATATCACAATGCAAACAGGCTTAATTTCTTTTCATTTGGAGGTGAAATACCATCCAAACTTGTTTATTAGCCCAGCCTGGCTATTTGTCTAGTACTTTTATAACGAGAATACAGTGCTAATCAGAGAAGTGTTTTGAATATTCTTGCGTAATAATATATTCAATAAAAAAAACAAAAAAACATTCTATATAAAAAGGCAGCACAGCCTAGCTAGTCATTCTACAATTTTGGGTTCATTTCCTCTTTCAAAGGTCACCCAAGTCTACTAAGAACACAATGAGCCCAGTTGCATGCGCTGAAGTGAGTAACCAGAGGCAAGAGTTATTTATTGATTTATGACCGAGCAGGATCCGTGTGAGTGTGTGAGACGCTGAAGTGTGGAACCTCAGGCTAAAAATAACCTGTTTTAAAGAGTTGAGTCTAGTACGTTTATGTACACATGCGTTCACAATGCTTTCTGCATCTCTTCAGGGCCGCGGTGAGCTGGGACGGGATCCGTTTGCCATGGTTACCCACCCGACTGACCTAAGGCTTGGTTTCCAGCGCGAGGTCCATGTGAATGAAGGAGGAAAAGCGTCTCCCCTCCCCCAGCATTCCCAGGCCTCGTGGGGGGGAAACATCGGCTGCATTCCAGAGAACGCCGGAAGATCTGAGGACGGAAAAACAGGGAACGAGTTACACATGTTGAACTCCACATGGTTCACCTACAATCCTTCACATTAGTTTGAGAAACCGGGTGCATCACAAAACTAATGGTATGTATACGATAGTAACTACATGCAATCTACAAACACTTACTAATGAGATCACATTTGGTATGTTAAGCTGCTTTTCATTTCAGAAGAGCTTTAAAACAAGCACTATAAAACTTCTTGCCCTGTTAAATGCGTTTCATCCCCTGAAACATGTAGGTAATGAGCTCATGAAGTTCACTTGTGCCTAATTTCCACTTTCACAACATGTTTTTCCACAACCTGTAAAACAGGCTGTTCCTTTAGATGCGTTTTTGAACATTTGACCTATTAAGAGTGTATTTTATCTGTTCGGTTGCATTAGGAAGGTGAAAACCATTTGACTTAAAGGTTACCCAATATCTAGAGAGTAACATGGCATATAAACTCTTAATAAAAATAACAACACTATTAATAATTAATATTATACAATGTATTATTATTATTACATTAACATTGAATATTTTATTTGATCATATTCATTTTTTTACACTTTTACAAATATTTAGCAACATGACATAAAATGCAGATATATCATACAATAGTTTAATTAAATAACATTGAAATCACTATTATTATTAATTAATATTATACAATTATAAGAGTATTATTATTTATGAATTAAAATGTAACATTTTATTATTATTATTATGGTATTTTTAATTTTTTAATTATTGCATTATATTAATTAAATTTCGCATCATGGCACATAAAATGCAGATAAGTAATACAATATTTAATTAAAATTAATGACACTATTCTTAATTGATATACTATTTAATATTATACTATTATTATTATTTATTAATTATATATTATTTTTATATTTTATCTTTTAAACTTAAAAGATCAAAAAATATTTTAATACAAGTAAGTCAATGCTAGTAAATGAAAAATGCTAAAAATGAATGACCAATTGTTTACACAATATATATATAAAATACAATTATTATTATTTTTATTTTAGTCAAAAAAAAATTATATTATTATTATTATTATTATTATTAATGTAATTAAAATTACATTTTTGTATTATTGTATGTTTTTTACTTTAAAATAAAAAATTTAAATGTAGCAACATGGCATAATACAATAATTTATCAAATAAATAACACTATTATTATTAATATTATACTGCTTATTATACTATTGTCTAGAATTAATTTAATTAAAATAAAAAATATATTATTAAATATTATTCATATATTATTTTAGAGAACACTATGAGTGTTGTTAATGTATTAGTATGCTTTCCAGCTATAGGCCGGTTACAGCTCAACTGAAGAATAAGGCTGAGTCTGAGCTTGACACCATTGAAGCTGATTTAGAGTTTAACAGGGTTAACAACGCTGTAAAGTCTAGATAATACTGTGACCTGCTAAAGCCAGCCAGCTGATCGGTTCGCACCCAGCAGTGTCTCTTGACACCACAACACGTGTTTCCATGCGTCCGCTGCTGTAATTAAAGGTTTGAACCCCTCTACCGGCGGACATAATGATCTTTCTCTAATCAATACTGTTCTGGATGTGATGCATGAGGGTCAAAGCTCAGATCTGGACAGAAAAAGATACTAAATTTAAATGCGATTTGTTTCTCCCAATACTGCATCCTTTCCGGACACGGTGTCTGTTTTCCCGATGTTGAGACGATCAACACTCCAGCAGCATTAAAAACACTACCTGAGAGAGATCAGGGTTTCACAAGTACAGCAGCTTCAGAGCGGTTATATTTAAACATAAGCGTCCCGTATTTCATGCCTTTGTGTTATTTCTGGGATGTGGCAGACACTTTAATTTAAGACGCGAGAAGCGATGCTACGCTAACCACACGAATGCTTAAAGTGTGGTTAAGTGAACTTTTGAGTGTTGCGTAAGTGCTGGTCCATCAGTGTCAGTGGTCTCACCCGTCCCAAAGCAGCAGCAGGACAGGTGACCTTTGACCCAGTTTGCAGCCCTTGGAAATTCCATTAAAGCGAGTCTAAAGACCCGAACGCATGCCTGGGATTCAATCAGCTTGTGTTTAATAGATTTGATGGTCTTGTTTTCATCACCTAGCGCAGCCATAACCGGAAAACCTTCTTTTTTGTCTTTATTACATCTACTTTATTCTTCCAAACTCTGGAATTTACTACCATGTTTTATTAGGCAGTCACCCAAGTACTTTAAAAAAAAAAAAAAAAAAAAAACTTGTCCGGCTTTTAAGAACTTGAAGTCTTAGTATTCAAAGTTTTATGTATTTATTGCATTTATCTCATCTTTTAGTTGTTTTATTACTATTTGGTTGCGTTGTGTTTACAAAATAAATAATAATAAAATATTATTTAATTTAATGTAATGTTATTTGGGTGCTAAATTATTAATCACTCATATATTTTTTTTGTTTTAAATGGTTTAGCACATGAGACCATGAGCCGCACTCACAAAAATAATCTTCTTTTTAACGTTTAACGTTTCAATTCAGTTTGTTACAAATGGTAAAACAGGAATGACTATTTAGACGTTATTTTTTATCAAATTTGGGTCATATTTATTAAACAAATAAATGTCTTTATTTTTTACTACTTGAAAATAAATGTAAGTAATGGAAAACCCCTTAATAAAACTTAAATAATGCCAAGAAATAAGTACAATTGGTATAAAATAAATTGTTAAAGTGTTTTATCTACTTGTCTTTATTTTTACTAAATAAATAAAGTGCTATTTATTTGTTTGAGTGATAAATAAATGATTTACAATTCAAATTCATTTATTTTAAAAATGGTGAAAACTATTTTCATGATTAATAGTACTTTAAATGAAGAAAAACATTTGTTTATTGCCCAAATCAATGATTTCCCCCCATTGTTTTGTATCAAATTGTTTTTGTTAATAAAATGTGCAGTAAATAAAATGTGAATAATAAATATTTATCACAAACTTTATTTATTTAGTGATTTTATTTTATTGATAAAACTTAAATAATACTAATAAATAAATATTTCTTCAGCGCAGCTAAATTGTGAAGTAGTGGTTTGGCTCTAGCTCTTTCCTGATGGTTTCAGCAGCTGTAATGAGGGTCACGGGGTGAATTAATGACAGCTGTGTAAACTACTGTGTCCTCTTACGGATCAATCCCAATCAGCACCTTATTTATTAGGAAACGCCCTTTTCTTTGCATTATGTGCCAGCTCTCAATATTCAGGCAATGTTTACTAATGAGCAAGAGTGTGCGGGTTAACATGTAAAATCACAGCATGACAGAACGGCCGGCTAAACCTCATTGGCATTTTCTTTTGCATATTTTTTTCGCAGACGTGAGCTCTAATTGATCCCTAAATAACAAAAACACGGGTCTTTTCAATCTGTGTGCCCCTGGCTTGAAAAACAAAGATGGTCTGTATGCAGATCACAACCTTTTCACCTCTTCTGATGTATGAATATTACGCAATTCTGATTAATTACACCAAGCGAGTTCGACCCGTTTGATCTATTTATGGCTGGTAACCAATTTGAGGCCTTTTAATTATTCAATTTCTTTCCAAAGGTCCCGCTTCCAGGACAAAGGAGTGAAAAAAAATATCCATTAACTTTATGCAGAACCTGGCACGCCGCAAGGGCTCAGCAGGACGCGGTGACTTTATGCGCATGTCGGGCATGAAAGGCCGGACGCAGATGCCAAAATAAAGGATCTTTCTGTTAGCGTTTCGATGGCTTTTTAAAAGGTGCGCATTAATAAAACATTAGTATTGACCGTGAGGGTCAATCTGGTCCGCCTCCGTGGATAATAACGCCGTCATGAAAGCCAGGAACCGACCCTTGACCTAGATCAGGTGTGTCAAACAACAAACAGAGACTCATATGGTGTATATTGGATGGGTGCCAGTTACGACAGCCTGCTCTGCAAGACCAAAGAATGAGAAGATCTTGATAACTTCCTCCCTAGTGCTCATGTTACAGTTTGGATTACCAGTCTTGCCAGCTAGAAAACATTAAAGTTGCCTGAAGACAGGAAATATAATTCATCTGTAACCATGGATGTACAAATCAAGCAAAATGCATTGTGGGATACAGTATTCAGCACAGTTTTATAATTCATGTGTTTTAGTACATATACTATATACTGCAAGAAAAGTATGCTAGCATGCTGTTTCAAACATAACCCAAGTTGTCTAAGCAGAGTTTTGTGGCTGCTATTCCTGTTAGCCTTGAGGTATTGATGCTATGTTAGCTGTGAGGCTACATACGTCAATATAGGAAACCAATCTGTACTTTCATTGGGTTGTTTGAGTAAATAAAGACAACCCGTGTCTTTCTATCTCAGGTAGCGATAGAATTGCGTTCCACCGAATGTCTCAATGGTTAACTACACCAACTCAAAAGTCAAACAGTGACTCACTGCGCTGATATGCAGTGATAATAGGAAAGAAACATATCTGCGTTTAAATGGGCGCGACTGACTGGTGAGGAATTATTTGAGACTGTACACCTTTCGTAAAGCATACTGGAAGTCAGCAAAAGTGGACATCAAAGAGAAGCAGATTTTCTCTATTTGTTCTCCTATTTGTTCTCCATCATTACGAGATGACGGCTTCTGGTGTGTATTTTTAGTTTTAAGCTGCTGGCTGCCAAACGCTGCAAAATATAGCTGCACCCTATTCCACATGCCTCGCTCCGCTGTTTCTGACAAGGCTATTCTGTGCAAAAATCAACAGCGAATTTGTGACATTCAAAAGAGCTGGAATTGCACTCTCAAAGAAGGATAAAAGAGACTTGTCAGCAGCAGCCGTGCAGATCTGGGGCCTCGCAGGCTCTCTTCTGCCAGTCTCCACCCAAACCATCTGTTTATTATTGAGGAAGGGCAAACAGCAGTTGCCCTAGGCATCCGTCCATTAAGTGAGCGCTGAGCTTTCGGTAACAAGCTGCGAGTGTGCTAAACAAGAAGAGATGTTTTAGAAGATGAACTAGCGCGAGTTTTTCTTTAAGCAAAGGCCTGTTTTACAACAAATAAAGAGGTGAAGATGCGACCTGACGAGTTGAAAGTTTCCAGTCTCCATTCTTGAATCTTCCTGCCAAACATTAGGCCTCAGTCTCAAATAAACACACCTTCTCTAAACATCATCAGCCATTATTTGAGATTGTTATCTGTCTGGCTACTGTGTACGCTAGTGAGAACAATAGGCCCTGACATTTACTTAAAAGAAAAGATGGAGGATTTGTAAACAACCCAGGGAAGCAAAACCATACTCCGTTTCAGTGGAGCAATGTGCAAAAAATGGCACAGACCTCGCCATAGGCAGAACTGCAAGCATGAACCTGATTCTGCTCATGCTGGAAGCATTTGGAAAAGCCTGTACGCCCCAAAGAGACGCGTTTTACTCTGTAATTTGTACTGCCACATTCCTTTTCAAACTATTAAGGAACATTTAGTCTTTATTTGACACCCAACAGCACTAATTACGTGTAGACATTTTTCATCAACAAACAAAATTACTGCTTTATGAGGGCTTGCACTCAAAGCAAATGTTGTCAATTGGACAGTAATACCGGAAAATACTCACCAAATCAGAGATATATTTTCTTCAAGATGGGAGGTACTTCCAGGTGCTGACAAATGCTGTTGGGATAAGTGAATATGGTACGCTTGTTATGCTATCCCATGAGTCCGTTGATGGGTCATAGCAGTCCAAGGTTTTACACCTCTGCGCCCCAAAGTAGCCCCCAACCACATAGAGGCGATTCCCCGACGCCACTGCATGACAACTGATTCTCTTGGAAGTCACGTCACCAAACTTGGTCCACTGGAACGTCTCGCTGTTGAAGCGGTACGCAGAGCTCGCAGAGAACTCTGTATCTCCGCCAATGACCACAACATGGTTCCCAACAACTGCTGCCGCCGTGTAACGCCAGAGCTGAGGACAAGTGGCCGGGACTGTCCACCTGTTCTCACAGGGGTCGAAGCACTGAACCTTGGGATACTTGTCCCTGTTGACACTAGTCCCTCCAAAAGCAAAGAGTTTGTTTTTGGCCCCTACGACCGCAGCGTTGCTCACACCCTCTCGAAGAGGGGCAACTAGTGTCCACTTGTTGGATTGGGGGTTGTACTGCTCCACTTGTTTAAGAGACACAGACGGGGATGCAGGGAACGACCCCGCAAGGGATGTGTGTCCACCTACTACATATAGGCTGTGGTCAAGTTCTGCTGAACCATGTCCGAATCTAGCGACGAGCATCGGTGCAGCTTTGGACCATTCGTCATGCAAGGTGTCGTAGACCCAAACGTCTTTCGAAGCCCCGTTTTCAGACCCGCGACCACCTGTGACATATACTTTACAGCCAATGGCACAAGCGCTGCACTCTTTGCGAGGGCTAGGAAGGTCCGTTTTGGGAGTGATCTCCTTCGCCTTGTGATCAATCATGTACACTTTGTCGCACATGAACGTTTGGCCTCCTAGAAGCAGGAGAGCTTGGCTGACCTTTCGGGGTTGGGCGCAGAAGCCCGTGACAACGCCATCATTCTGCAGGATCTTCATTTTGCAACGGACAGCGTCTTCCACAATCTCACGGCCCACCTTGTGTCCCATGACGAGCTCCTCAGATGCGACATTCTTTAGCAGGTAGGTTTCCGGGAGCAAGGCGAGTCGAACACAGCGCAGAAGGTCGGGAAGATCAAGATGCCTCCTTCCAATGTCTGCTCTGACCCAATCAATAACAGCCTCGTACACAATACTTTCGTCCTCAACCTCCAGCTCCTCGCTAAAAACAAGCTCCTGAACTTTATCTTTGGGCAGGCTTAGGAAATCTTCAGTGTGGTATAGATTAGCAAAATTCGCCAGACACATTCGCCAAGAAAGTTCATACAGCCTCTGGCACTGATGAGCATCAGACAGAAGCATCATTCCAAGGCAGTTAGACGGATGCAGATTCTTCTCCAGGAATTCTGCGGCGGCGTCACGGATGTCGTGGAACTGGAGCATGTCACCAGCCTCCAGCAAAGACTCAGCATTTTCCTCGTTAATGATCACCCGGGCCGAGTAGGCGTAGTCTAGCAGGAGCTCCAGGACCTCCGGGTGCAAAGAGTCGTGGAAGTTGACCTCGGCGTCTCGACTCTCCTTTAGGCCACCACTGAACATGGCCTCAAAATAGCGGCTACATGAAGCCAGAACGGCTCGGTGGCATGGAAATGCTCGATGTCCAGCGTGCAGGACTACATCCGTGAAGACACGTCGCTTGCGGAGGAGGTTGAGTTGGGTAAGCAAGCTGTCTGCATGTGACGTCTTGTGGAACAGCTGGATGTTCATGGACCCAGACATTTTACAATTTTATATCATTAAACCATCATACCACCACAATACATTGATATTAAGTCTCTTTCATTATGGTATTTAGTATCAGTCCACAATGTTTGCTTTCCAACACAATTATGAAGACAGGAGAAGCATGATGTTATTCTTTGCATCTTTCTTTCTCCCTCAAAGTGGTTGTTGTACAAACAACACCAGTGTACTGTACTGTGAATGAATGAACACTCACTGTACTGTATGACTGTTAATTACTGTCAGACCCCCTGCCAACATTCAGTGTTCATGTCTAATAGAGTTATTAGAGCTTAAACACAGCCGTTACTGTCTCAGCGCCCTGTTTACACAGTTTTTAACACCAATTATATCTGACTTTCCTAAAGAAATCCTTCTAGCAGGTATCATACTTTTAACTTCCACTGCCTGTTTTGTCTTTAGGCACTTTTAGAAATTATTCATTTTATTGTTATGATATCCTTTTACTGTATTATTTATTTATATGTATATATGTTTTTTATTTTTTGCTTGTTTTATCAATATCTAATAAAAAATAATTGCGGTGGAGAAAAATAATTTCTCCACCGCAATAACATACCTGTTGGAATGTAGCGGCACCTACTGGACAGAATCCATATTGCATTATTGCATTATTAACAGATATTTGTAACAAATGCAAATATTGCAGTCTTACAAAAAAAAAAATATATATATATATATATGCATTTTAGCATATGCTGTTAATATAATTTTGTTGGTTCTTTCAAATTGCAAAACTGTTTTAAATCAAAAGTTATTCGTCTTTTTAAAATCAGAATTTATGCTAATAGCACCTTCCCTTAAAATCGGACTTTTTAGCTTAAAATTCATCACGTAATTTATTATTTTAGTTTTATTATTGCTTTTTGATTGTGCTGTAATTAAAAACTACATATCCCAAAAGTCAACAGTCAGGATGTTTTCCAGAGCGCTTCCGGTTCATCTCAAGGGCACAGTTATCACATGTACCGAAGCGACACTGACTTTAATCCAGTGTGTCACTGTAATTAGGTCTATAAGTGTGTAAAAAAGACAGTTTCGGTTCAGATTTCTCTTCGGGCTCCTCGTCTGGTAAAATGGACACTGGCACTATAATGGAGCAGGTCAAAGTTCAGATTGCTGTTGCAAATGCGCAAGAGCTGCTGCAGGTAAATGACTTTAACCTCTTAAGATGCTAAATGGTGTTTTTTGTAAGTCTGTTTTTGAGAAACATGTGTTAAATAGTTTTATTATTGTGTATATTGGTAAATAAATTAATAGAAATGCACCATGGTAATAGCATGGTATAATTTGGAGTACCATGCATATGTCATGGTGGTTATCATTAAAAACAGTTGTATAGCTAAGTTCATCACGGTGTACACTTACCAAAAAATAACATGGTATTATCCTGGTATTTTCAACTTGTATCATCGAACATCGCTCTCTCTCTCTCTCTCTCTCTCTCTCTCTCTCTCTCTCGCTCTAATTTTGTCTCTAAAATATGATAAAACTGCTTTTGAACACGTACCATATTACTACCATGATAAATTTTAAATACTGTTGTATTAAAAAATACCATGGTATATTAATGTGATATGCTTTAAAAATGTACTGTGGTGGCACCATGGTACAGTGGTTGTATACAATAATTTAGGTGTATTACTAAGTATGTCCAAAAATACCATGTTACATGTCCAACAAAATGTCCGAAAAGCAGTACAAAAAATACCATAGTAGTACCATAGTATGGTGTTCTTGCAAAAACCTTCAAATACCATATATTTATATAAATATTATAAAGTACCATCATATTACTATGTAATACTATCACTATACTATACTGTAAATAATGATTTTGTTGTAAATAAAACAAATTTGAAGTAAATTTTTCTAGAAAACCTAATTTCAGTGTTTCTGCTTAAATTTTTCACATTTCTTTGTAATTATTTTGTGAAATGTATTAGCAATTTATGACTGAATTGTTTCAAAGTAAATCCTACACCAAAAATTATAACTATGATATTGCCATATTACCTTTTTGCAAGGTTCTTCAAGGTATCACTAGAACCAAAAGGTAACATGGTACTACCACACTAGAATTATTCCATACCTTCCTAATAGAATTTGTCCCACATTGCAGAGAATGACTGATAAATGCTTCAAGAAGTGCATTGGCAAGCCAGGAAGCACATTGGACAACTCTGAACAGGTGGGAGCGATACTTCCTATGCCATTACCCATGTTTATTTGAGGGAAAAAAAAATCTAAACCCATCTGTTCCCCATTTGTTTTTTCCCAGAAATGCATTGCCATGTGTATGGACCGATATATGGACGCATGGAACACGGTCTCCCGCGCATATAATTCCAGATTACAGAGGGAAAGGGCACGTATTTGATGTGCAGATGGCAGTCGGTACTACCTCAGTCCTCAGGTAGAGATGTCTAGTCTCTGAATACACGACAGGTGTATAGACTTGGCTCTCTTACCACACAACAACAGCTGATGGCTACAGAAGGAACCAGGTGGTTGGATTTAGACTCTACATGGACATTTTTCATTACATTTTGTGTGTTAAAATGATTATATAATACATAAAATAGCTGTTTAATAATTGACAAATTCAGATTAAGGGATTGATAATTGTAGTAGCAACTCTTGTGCTTATAATGATGGCTGGAATTGGGATAACAAAAGAATGGGTCTGGATTTTAGCTCCACTTTCCTGTTCGGAGGTTTCACTATGTTTAAAAACAATGCTAAAATTCAGATTCTTCACCTTTTGCCGTTATCCATTTATCAAACAGCCAATCAAAATTCAGCATACCGTCTGTCTGTCTTTTGTCATTGGGTGGATGTTACTCCATTCCCTGAGGGAAGGGCTCACTTTACCAACTCTGTTCCACAAACCTAGTTCTTCTCCCAGAGGGGGAGAATTCAGGGGCGCCTTTGTTGCAATAATTGTCGCTTCTTCACCAGGAGCAGCCAAACAGTCCTTCTTACTTACATCTGAAGAACAAACCGCAATTGTCAACCCTGGAGTGTCATTTGTCTCATTGTCTCATAAGTACAGTAGTAGGGTTGTTTAACTGCAAGCCTTTGTAGTTCAATTTGTGTACACTAGTCAATATTTCCCATTTCCATTGCTTCCGAGTCTTGGAAAGATTTGGACAGAGACACAAACTCCACCAAGGTATGTCCAGACAGATGTTGTGTAATTGTCACCAAGCTGTTTTTATGAAATGCAAATAAATAACACCAAATTAGTCCATTTTTATTGATGTTTATTCTTTCATTGGTTAACAGATGTAGCACCATTTGTACAAATTAGGCCTGAAATTCACTAAGAAAGTAAATGAACGTACGTGTTGCATTCCCAGCATTTCCACAGGGGGCGCTATAGCATGCATTTCTGAACTGTCTTCTTGTATAGCCTGGTCAAGTATTGTCATGGTGGAGCAACGGTTTGAAAAGAATCTTGTTTAGGCCCTGTCCCAAATTGCACCCTAAACCCTCGCGGTCTTCCTCTGAGTCCGCACTTTCGTGATGTAATGCCACTTTGACTGTCGGGTAGAAGTCTGCTGTGGAGCTCGCCTCAGTGCGTGCTCGGCAGAAGTGCGGATCGAGGACGCAAAGGGGGAGCTCGCGAGCACCCTTCGGAACCGTTCTGACTGTAGGGACGGACACCCTACAGTCTTGTGGACTTAAGACACGCGCACGCGGCGGCCATTGTAAATCTGTAAGACCGCAAGTGCACATGAAGTGTTCCATCTGTGACAGGGCCTTAATGGCATAAACATTTATATTGAGGTTTCCATCGTAATATACAATATGTTTCTTTCCTTAAAGGGTTACTTTACCCCAAAATGAACATTTTGTCATTAATCACTTACCCTTATGTCGTTCCAAACCCATAAAAGCTTAGTTCGTCTTCGGAACACAATTTAAGATATTTTGGATGAAAACCGGGAGGCTTGTGACTGTCCCATTGACTGCCAAGTAAATAACACTGTCAAGGCCCAGAAAAGTATGAAAGACATCGTCAAAATAGTCCATCTGCCATCAGTGGTTCAACCGTAACGTTATGAAGCAATGAGAATACTTTTTGTACGCTGCACGGATGCGCTGTTTTCGTTCAAATCAAAGTGTAAATACACGTAGAAAACTTATCTTTGTGTCGCGGCTGACACAGAGTAGCGTACGCAGTTTGCGTTCAGTGGATATTCTCCAAAATGGCGCTACGGTGATGCTGAGAGAGACAGAGGAGACGAATTGTTGAATAAAGTCGTTATTTTTGTTTTCTTCACGTACAAACAGAGTTCTCGTCGCTTCATAACGTTACGGTTGAACCACTGATGTCTTAAATTGTGTTCCGAAGACGAACGAAGCTTTTAGGGGTTTGGAACGACATGGGGGTAAGTGATTAATGACAATTTTCATTTTGGGGTGGAGTAACCCATTAATCTTCCTTAATCCTTCTTTCCGTATCATCCAAGTAAAAACAAATTACCTCTATTTTGTAGTAAAGTCCATTTTGTGTTAGAGGAATATAAATCCTGCTGGTTATATTTGTCTCTTGAAATCGGAATTTATCAAACTTCTGGCAAGCGAATGTTGCAATTTTTTATTATCTTACACCTAAAGTGAAAACCACTTCAAAATTATCATTATTTTTAAGTCATGTTGGTTACACTCAGGGCCACATGGAATTTGCATCCTAACTAATTAGGAGCATCTCCACTGATTATTCCTTCAAAATCATTACAATAAAAAAAGTCTGCAGATTCAGTGGGGGCCTCATGGTTTAATAGCCTCAATGGCTACTGCTTCGTACTCCAGAATGCGTTGGTAATAAATACCAAAAATAAATATTTCGACAGTACAGTATGAACCAGTTGGTAAAGTTGTCCATTAGAGTTTCATGCATTCATTTCTAGGGGTGTAAAGATACACGTATTTGTACTGAACCGTTCGGTACGAGGGTTTCGGTTCAGTACGCATTACAAACCGAACGATTCGTTGTACTAATCCTATTACATTTGGAAAATAAAAGAGCTTAAAGTGTGTGAAATACAATGTTCTCAGTGCCACTGTGCTCAACGACGTAACAGCCCTCAAAGAAAAACACACTGCTCCAGTCAGGCATAGTCTGGACTAGCTCGTTCGTTGCAATATGGCTAGTAACATTTTTTGTTTGTATGAAGGCTAAATACAAATAAAAGGTGAACATTAATTTATTTGTGCAGTTTTTTTTCTAAAATATTATATAGTTTTATAGGAGGAGGTTTCATAGACTTGGCAAATTCATTTTTCAGAGGTTTGTAGGTACAGACATCTGTTGTGGGCATTGGCAGTTTTTCTGAGGCTTTTTTTTTTTTTAAATATTGTTCCTGTCGATATCGGAATTATGGAAATGGACGAAAACAAGGAGATGCACACTCTACAAACTATCCCCGCAGCATTTAGGCAGGCATTTCCAACTGATTCAAACAGGGCAAAACAAATCACCGTAACAAATCGTCATATAAAATTTGTAAAAATCAAGGAAATTTCTCTGGCATTTTGTTTCTTTTTGCTGTATCGAAAACGTACCGAACTGTGACACCACTGTGTTGTATCGAATCGAAACGTAAATTTTGTGAACCGTTACACCCCTATTCATTTCATTTGAGAGGTATGACTGCACGTCACTTGTGAGAAAGATGGTGGAGGATATTTTTAAAAAGGGAGGTATATAGATATCCATTCTCTGACAGCCGTGACCTGCATGTAAACTCCTGGGAAGCCAAGTCGACCACAGCCGTGACCCCAGCTGGTCACCCCAGCCAGAAACCACCGGCCCTGGGGTTCGCGGCACACCAGAGGGCCCCCTGAGTCTCCCTGCAGACAAAGACAAGACCACTGCATTCATTGGTGTTTTTATGGAAGGTATGACATTTACAGAAGTCTGCTGAAAACTCAAGGATATGGTTGGGTTACATTGGGCTGGGTTACGTAATCAGCTTAAGAGGCATGGTGGATGTTTTAAGTGGTAAAAAAAGACTTTTAGAGCATTAAGTATCATTGGGTAAGTGCAATGGTGCTTCAGAAAAAGTGAATCAGATTTCTCCTACAAAGAGAAGAATGTGCAACTCCTCACTATTTTGAATAGTAGAGTTCAGAACTCTTTAATATTGGAAACAAATTTTTGACCAGAAACTCACCAGACATGTGTCCTTGTCTCCTTCCATAGAGCCAGCACACATCATGTTGTTGGTAAGTTCAGCACCGTAAGCTTGCTGGCAGTCCAACTTATCAATGACATTAACCTGTGCTTTTTGCAGTAAATTGGTTATCATACCTACATGGGATAAACAGACCATATGTCATAATGCAGCTTGTCAAACAAAAGCAATCGCAATTTTCCATATCTTTTAGGAAAAAGACTTATTCAAGAAGGGGAAGTATAGAAGAACTGTTTTAATGTCGTTTTCACACTTGGTACATTTGACCCAATCTTAAGTCCCACAATACCCGTGATGGATACCCAAATGGTCTACTAATATCATATAGCAGGGGTGGCCAACTTCTGTCCTGGAGAGCCACATGCCTTGTCCAAATACCCACACTTGCCGTCTTTGCACTTGACCACTTGACTACTTATATGACGTGTATCCTGTATTTGGCTGTATTTGTGTTCAAGTGAGGATGAAGACCACAAGTGTCTGTAGAACTTTGCATTACCTAATGTGACACACTTAGGCAATAGTGTTGTAAAAATCCAAGTGTTTACATAGCTTTATTTTTATTTTAAATACTTAGCATTTTAAAATCAACTTCTAAATGTCTGTTCAGTAGTCCCTATAAACAGTTGCAAATGTTGTACAAAATATATATAACCACTTCTCATCTTTGCACTAATAAAACGTGCAACACTTTGTTTTCTACCAAATTTTATATAATAACTAATTATTATATTAATATTTAACTTGCATCGGAAAGGTTTCCGTGACCTCTCGCGAGATCTCAGCAAAAAAAGTCCCACGATTGATTTTCAGAACATGATACATGATGGGATACCCTAACGGTGCGTTTCCACTACAGCATCAAATCTGCACTCCGTGCCGCTGGAAACGCTACAACGCCACTGTTTTGGGGCGTGTCAAATTTAGGGCAGAGCATGCCTCTGAAAACTGTTTACATACTGCTTGCATTTTATCATCTTTTAACGGCGATTGGTTGTTGCCCTGCGTTTTTCGCGCGATATTTGCATAAAGTCGAGGAATGAGAGGAATCTCTGGCATATAGCATTTCATGTTTGGTTTGTTTTTACATCCATTACTAAATGTATGACGACTAATGTGAATCAAATTCCCTTTTTCAAACAGATGGTGAACACTTGGTGAACACTCTAGTTTGGAAGACAGCTTCAGCATTTGCCACACATTAAGGTCACTCAAACCCAGGTCACCCAAAACCAAAACGTGTAGGGTGAAAACGATATCATAAACTACTAGTGTTAGGTTTTGTCTTGGTCACCTTGACCAACCCCATACTTACCATCCTCCCTCATAGCACCCCATCCAGTGATGTAGCATTCCATATTTTTGATGAAGCTATGCCAGGGAGAAGGCAAACACACAGTCTGGATGGTGTAGGACTTTGGGGCGGGGATGGAGAGTTCCACCAGGGCCACATCGAAGTCCATGGTGCTGCCATTGAAAGCAGGATGATGGATGATCCTTTGCACTGGAATCACCAGAGCACCCACTCCAGACCAAATGACCGAGCCAAGACTTACCGTCCAGCTGCCAGGGTTCAGGTCACTATTAACGAAAACAAAATAAAACACTAAGTCTTCCCTGTTCAACTCTGTCCAGAACTGAAAGTAGAGCATGTTGGGTAGATGTCAATCAAAGGTACACTACCCTCTGAAGCAGTGAGCTGCAGTCAGGAGCCATTTGCAGTGGATAAGCGTAGCTCCACAGCGGTGAGTGCGTTGGTACTGCAGACTGCCCACCCATGGCCATTCACCTCTATGGGCAGTGACACCACCAACAATCCTCTCCTGGCCCATAGCTGGACGATTCCCACAGTCTACAAAGTAATCAGGTGACTCTTTTATTCTTATTCCTAAAGCTAGTTCAATGGGTCCTTAGTCGGGGTATATACCATATTTACATTTACACCCATAAGGCTGTGAGGGATGCATGTACATTCTGTTCAATGGGTTGTACAGTTGTGCAACTTGGTGTCAATCAGCTGACACAATGTTGAAAATATGCTATTCCGAAAAAACTTACAGTGCACTAAAGAGTGCACTGGGTTGTGAAAATTGGTGACAGTACAACCTTTCGAACAGACTGTATCTCTACCCTTATTTCTTTCATCTAAATTTAAAGGGGTCATGAACTGAGAAATCAAAATTCCCTTGATCTTTTGACATATAAGAGGTCATTGTGCTATTAAAAAATTCTGTAAGTTTCAGGACTCAACTTTCTCGTTAGTCTAAAAACAGCTTACATTGAAGCCAATCTGCCAAACGACAGGTTGTGGAATTTGCC